CGGCGGCGCGCCAGCCCGAGGGCCCCGCGGCCGCCGGCACTTACACGGACGTGAGCTTGTAGCAGGTCTTGAAGTCGCAGTTGTAGTAATGCCGCTCGGCCAGGGACACCGCCACGTCCAGGTTCTCCTGCAGGCCGTCGGCAGCCTCGGGGGCGACCGTCTCGCTCGGCTTGTTGTACTGCAGCACAGAGCGGGTGAGGGCCCGGGGCGCCCGAGGTCCCGGGGAGTGGCCGCGGGGAGCGTCGAGCCCCCTTCCGTCACCGCTCCTCTCGGAGCTCGATTCTGCCCTCCACGTTACCCCGAGTTCCGTGGCAGCAGCTATGTACAAAGCCAAGCCCGGGACGCCCGAGAGAAGCCTCCGTTTCGCGGAGCGCCGCCGCCCGGCCCGCAGGCTGAGGCCCGGGCGGGCGACGGCCTCTGGGAGGGGCCTCCGGACGCTCGCCCTCCGCCCAGGCCCGCGCCCCACAGCCCCGCTCCCAGGACAGCGGCCAGCTCGCGGGAGACGGGACAGGCCTGCCCCGGGAGCAGCGGCCGACGTCGCGCCTACTGACCTTCTTCAACTTGTTCTCGAAGAGAAAGCGCAGCAGCTCCTGCTCTTCGGCGCAGAGCTTGCTGAGAGGCAGCGACTCCAGCAGCTCCTTCTCTGCAAACGGAGAGCGCGGGTTTCCCCGGGGCCAGGACGCCCCACGCAGCCGCCTCCTACCGGTCCCGGTTCTAGCGGCCACTCAGGGGGGGAAAGGAGGCGCCACAAGGCACCGGCCAGCGCGAGGCCCGCAGGCCAGGCCACCCCCAGGGCCCTGGCTCGGGCCGCTCCCGTCCATGACCCTCCTGAGGTGCCTGGGCACTGGCCGCCTCGTCGGGGTGCTGGGCGGAACCTCAGTGCCGAGGGCGGACCCTCACGCCCAGGCAGCGGCCACTGAAGAGGACCCCTGGGCTCCACCTGGCCCTGGTGAGAGCCACGTACTGGGGGCCCGACCCTAGCCCAGAGCCCGACTTTCTGTCCTCCTCCGCCGCCACCATCGTGGCGCTGCCCGGAGGGACACAGGGCGGGGCCAGGCGACGGCGTGGCCGGGCGGCGCATAGGGCCAGAGACG